GATGTAGTATGTCCAAGTCTGTTTCATTAACAAGCGCCACAAGATGACAAAGAGTGTTACAWAGCTGAAAMAGTGTGAAAAGTGACATAACTTAGTCCCCGTTTGCCTTATGAGGCTCATGACAGTGTCACRRCAGTGGGTARCYTTTKCGAGCAAAGGCAAACATATGCATTGTAAACCAGCATTCTTGCGACTGACATAACTAGTAAATCACTAATGATGAATTCTTCGTTACGTCACAGCGGCCATCTTGGAGGAACTTCAACAAAGKATTTCTCATAGTATCTATTGTTAATTCCTCCAAAATAGCCGCCGGTCTTTTATCTTTTGAATATCGTGGGAATGGTTGAAAASGATCAATGGGATAAGTCGACGCCATGTACTTCTTACCTGTTCCTGTAGGTTTTCTTGATATTTGAACTCGGAAAATTCCGTCAAATTTCTGCTTGACTCCAGCGCTCGGACAAGCACTTCCACAACACTCATGAATTGAYTGGCATCGCCATAACATTGTCTAGTCTCTGGTACTGATAGTGACAAAACTGCATTGATACGAACCTGCAATAAAACATTTCACATGTGAACTCTCCCTAATCCCATTAATTCTAGTCAATATATGAGATTTCATGRTCTGTAAAAGATGTTTGATTCATGTTGGATGTGACGTTTAGTCTATAAAATGGCATTCAACAACATGAACCTTGAAATTTTTGCAGTCTTGTAKTACTCTTGTCAAAGCGTTGAAAACATCAGCCTAAAAAAATAATCATGAATTAAAATAAATAACATGAATGGATCAATCGAACAGTCAATCAATCAAATAACCATCCGATTATCATTTCATCAAAAGAGGTCTTTAAATATCTGAGGTCGATTATACGAAGGGTGAAAAGCGTCCAATAAATACTTATGAAGTAAATAAATTTATCCCGAGGAAAACTTTCCCACACTTCGTAAAACCTGCCTCAAGCATAAATCTTTTAAAAAACCTTAAACTTACAGTCCATGATGCAGTACCAATTGGCAAAGCTGTATTACTAAACATATTGCCAATGGCATAACATGCATTCCAACGAATCTAAAAAAAATGAAAAAGAGAATGATCATGATTTCTGCTAGATGAAACAAAAAACAACAGAAATGGGCCATGAAAATATTTAAACAATTCGACAGTGAAATTATCATTGAAATTTACAGTTTTGTCTTGAAAATGCGAATGTTTCACGTTTTTCTGGGCCATGGAAATGTAATTTCGGGACCATGAAAAAGTGATTTTTACAGTGTGACCCCCCAATGTGACTTTCGAAATCTCCACGTTTTTTCAGGGCCATGAAAAAGTGATTTTTAGGGCGATGAAAAAATGATTTTTACAGTGTGACCCCCCAATGTGACTTTCATGGTTTCCACGTTTTTCAGGGCCATGAAAAAGTGATTTTCAGGGCCATGAAAAAATGATTTTTACAGCGTGACCACCCAAATGTGACTGTCATAGTTTCCACGTTCTTTTAGGGCCATTAAAAATGCCCACCTTCATGAGTCCTGTGCCTACATTGCTAACAAGAGCCTGGACAGCTTTGTCTACACAGGTTGAGAATCCACGTTTTTCTAAAAAAAAGTACAAAAATATACATTTTGTCACTGAGGAAAAGGTTTTGTAGCTGTGAAAGAACCTTATTTTGCACTTGTATGACACACCATTCAATAATCGGTTCTACACTCATGCGTTTTAAACATGTATGCATACCTAAAGTACTYGGTTTAAGATAGCTTAAAATATTCCCTACAGCCCTCACTCCATTGGACTTGACCTGAAATATCGTTAAATAGCACAGTAGTACAAAAATATTTCTTTAACTAACTTAGGTGGTGTGATCCAAGTCTATGCTGACAGTGAATCTTTTTTAGCTCACACTAGTTTACCGCTAGTTTCCACCATTTTAGTCTTTTCAACAGTTTGTGAAGCTAAAAGTATCTAAAATTACCAAACTAGTCAGACACCTTATGCCATTGTTGATACCTTTTCATGGTCTTCACTTGCAGCGATTGATARTTCAAGCAGTTTCAACAGCAGCATATCAGAGAAATCATTCATAAATGCAGTAGCTTTGGATGATCTGAAAAACAACAGCGCAACTTCATAAAATATGGCAATTAGTAGGCAATTTGTTTGGCAGGTTTTTATTGTAGGTTTTCAACTCTGCAGCAAGAATTCCTTAAGTTATGATTTTAGGATTTTCCTCCAGTTTTATTAAGTAGCAACACAGGAAGGCCATCTTTTGCTTGCCAATTCCAATTCAATCATATTGCACGTTATGAAAAAAAAAACGCAAATGACTTACTTATTAGCTACAAGTGTATTACTCAGGTTACCCAGTGACCAAGCAGCTCTCATTCTTACTGCCAATGTTGGATCCTCCATGCACATTAAAACAGCATTAGCAGTATCAGCAACATAAAGGACATCCTCACGCAGACATGGGTAAAGAACTAACACTCCTACAGCACGTACAGCTGATGCCTATACATTGGATGGTAATGGAAGGTTGAAACTTGCTAAAATGGTCTGTCTACTAATCTATGTTCACTATAGTAAATGTGGCACTCAACAAAACCCTGACAGTAAGTAAGAGATAACTGACATAATTATGAAAAAAATAATAATAATCTGAAAGTTCTTAACCAGGACAAAAATGATAAAGTTTCAAAAATGATATGACTGTAATGTAGACAATGGCCTTGCATTGGAAATAGCAACCATTGTTTAGTATATTTATTTCATACAGTTGTACCTTAAGGTTCTTGTCTTCATCATTGSTAAAACCAAGCAGCATTGTGATAAAAAATATCTTTTTGTCTTCCTGGAAAGAATACATACAAGAGTAACATGGTAAAACATTTCATGACGACAAGTGAASATATACTGCATGTATTAGATCAATATTGGCTATATTTTAATACATCTGGATAGAATACTGGAGCTAAGTCATTGGTGTTGTATAATAAGCTTGAATGGAATTGCCAGGTTTATAATTGTAGGGCTGTATGAATCACTATGACCCTAGAACTATGATGGCTTCACCCTTGCCAAACAGGTCTCTGGATGGGATCCTGACAAAGAGCAATCCCCTAGTTTTTAAATGAACCTAAATGAAAGTCACTATAATAACCCAATAACTTAGCAAAGGTTTGAGTCTTAGAAATGTATCATGGCGTTGTACAGGGATCTAACTTCAAATGTTTTCACTGATACTCACTGGTAGTATTTCAAAGATCTGTGCCCCAATGTTAGTCAAACAGTCAATTACACATGTAATAAGTTTRATATTACTGCCTTGAAGAATGTTTATCAATGGACCATTTAAAAGACCCATCCAGAAATCCAATAACTAAAAAAAACAATTAAGAATCTATGACTGTCTGACATGAAAGATAAGATAACCTGAAAACATTACATATTTTTTATCTTATTGATCATTAAATATATTATTTTTGTATCTAGTGAATCAATCTACTGTATAGTCTGACAGCTATTGCCATTTTCACACACTCTTCTTACTAAGAGCCACTAAAAAATTCATTTACACTTTTTTGTTCACAGGATTTAGTCACTTCTATTATCATGGTGACCAACATTGTGAGAGMAAGTTGTCTTTAGGGCAAGAGCTGAATAAATAAAGCACTTTGAAAAACCAATTTCCATTATCCTAGATGTATTTGATTTATTAGAAATGCATGTGGATACACTGTTATTTAGATACCAGTTGAATATTAACAATGATATTTACAATATTATCAAAATATTAGCATCMTACATGGTACACATACACGTACATCCTAACTACAGTAAAACACACCTTCTCTTTTGATATTTCTACTGTTGCCTCTTTGGTGTCTGTTTGCTCAGGTAAACATGTATACATTATTCTACCAAGTTCTTGGAGAAGCTGAATGATGGCAATTCATGGTKTTAAGAATACAATATATAATACATTAACTAAGGAAAAGATTAGAATGGGTTACCTTAATGGCAAACACAGCAAGTCCCTGTTCATCTTCTGTACATGCACATGATAACATGGTTATACAATTTATACATGGACTGTGAAAAAAGAATATTGTATAATATATAATTATACCTTCAAATAAATATTATTATAAATAGTAAATAATGTAGTGAATGTAGTAAATAATGTGACATTGATTGCATGACTGACTGACTTAGATGTACTTGCTGGCTGGAACAGACATACTTTCTATCAGACTGTGTATCTGTTTGATTGACAGACTGACTGACTGAGCGCCTGAGTGACTGACTGACATAAGAGCTCACAATTCACTATCGTTTTTGCCACATACCTCAAAATGTCAAAATAGTTCCTGACAAATGCGATAAGCACTTGAATGGCTTCTATGCGTACAACAAGAGGCTGGACTTCTTTGTCTGTTTTCCTAGMAGCCATTTCAATACATGTCTCAATGAGCCATGGATAWGATTSATTATCATCAGTAGTATGATGKCTGTTAACTAGTGTTGGCTGCTTTTCCTCATCAACATGCTGTGGTTTTGTCATTATTATGATGACCTCATTTAGAGGGGCGTGAACTGATATTACCATTCCCAGGCATGTTAGTGCAGTAACTCTGATGTTTATATCTGATAAGAGGAAAATTATTAACTGTTTATAATTCAACTGCTGATTTGTAATAGGTTTACATGGTTATATAAGCAGTTCCGCACCATAATCCAACCACAATAGTTTGTGTGCACATCTTTTGTCAAATACTACTTGCTTTTAATCTCACTACATACATGTACTTGAGGTGAACTCAATTACARCAAGCTGACATTACACATGGATGTGTAGCAAACGTTGAAAACTATGCACAGATGGGAATCATGCATTGCTCTGGCTAGGCTAATCACAAGTGATTCATGCAATCAATTATAATTGACTTTACCTTTTGATAGAAGTAAAGGTCTGACTTGCTGCACTATTCGTGTCATTAGACCTTCTTTYAGTCTGTTGTAGGGTGAGTTRAGAATAAGKACAGACAGACATTTCATCATGTGAAGCTTGGTAGATATTGAGGTCTCAGCTAACAGGGCTTGTAATAAATGTCTGTGGATCTCATGCACTGTGGCTCCCAAACGACCAGAGAATGAAGTAAAAGGCCGAGATGACAAGACGGCACTCTTTTCATCACTACAATCAAACCAAAAAGATCAAATACAAGCATTGCTGATACAAATTTTAAGATGGAATAGTCTCCTTCATGGTTCCCTGCGCCATCTTGAAAGGTAGCTGTGGCTTTGCATCGAAGCGAGACAACTGTTGAGGGTGCAGCACTCAACCCTCTTTCGCATCAGAAAATTTTTCACAGGTATCTACCAATTAGCAATAGATACGGTAAACTTTTTACAATACCACTGGAATGACGAACAACATATGAGTATTCAGAAATATCAATGTAATTCAATCATTTTCTAACCGGTCTTCAGCAGCAGCCAGAAATTGCCTTGAATGATCTAACAGTTCTGACAAGACAGCAACACCTCCTGCTCTGGCCTACAAACACAAGCATATTAAACAACTAAAGTTAAAATAAGGAAAATTAGAATGTATGCTTATAAAATTTACATAAAAAGGATAGAATCATACAAAGTATTACAAGTGATGGGCTTAATCATAATAAAATGCACCTGAAGTAGTAATTATCAATACTGAAMAAATAATCACCTTAGGAGAAGGATCCCTTAATATTGTTGTAAACAATGACCAAGATGACCCTGATGTTGAGTCAGGAATGAAAGAAGACCAGTAACCAAATAAAGTTTTCTTCTCCAGCCCCTACATAACAAACAAGAATTACTATTTCTCCATGAATTGCTTTTCATAATATTATACACCTAATTTGTCAGATCGGGAAAAGGCAATATCATCAAAGGCACCTCCAAAGAGGATTCCTGAAGACAGAATGCTCAAAAATTCTAATCCTAACTTACTTAAACATCTTAAATTCTAGMCATTATTCAAAGAGAATGACATTTTAGTCAGTGCAGGCAATCTTATGACATTGAAACACTGTATTTGTACTATATTTGCGATATCTGCTTCCCCTGTTCCCTTTCAGTCTTAATTTTCATGATGTAAAAATTCAAAAATATAAGTTTATTATCATTATAATCATTTAAATACTGTATTAGAGAAATTACATATGAGCATGCAAAACTTAGTATTTCCAACAAACCTTAACAGCAGACTGCAAGCATGTAAGAGCATTCTGTCGTACTTTTAATGTTACTGATCTGAGGAGAAAATGACAAAGTTTGTAAGTAAATAAATTAGTAATTTACAATATTAAGATTAGCATCATTGTGCTTACCTAAGTCTTGCTATCTGGCCAGCTTCACTATCAGAATAATCTGAATCAGAGCTAGTAGCAGAAACTACTGCTTCAGATCCACTTGTGTCACTAACATTCCCTGATTCCTCTGTCTCATTTATAGTCTTACTTGCTGTGTCAGTAGTGACTGAAGACTTTTCATTACAATCATCCTTTTTTAAAGGAGAGGAAACTCCTAGCGAAGGGGCTATTTTGGGTACTGATATGTTAGTCCTGGCAAATGCAGGCATCAAGGCATCTACAGATGAATAGTCCCTTCTTATTTTGGGACCATATTTAGGTGGACCATAACTGGAGCTTTGCTGGGAGTAAGTTTTGCTTTTTGTGTTTYGTTTTTTCTTTTTCTTGTTGTTCAAAGCTATAGCATTTTGATATGCACGAGACTTGGTAGGGGCTGTATCTAGATTGATGGATGACAAATCATCAGAGTGTATACCTGTAAAATATCAGAGAGATTATTAGTGAGGCCCTGTCGCAGATATCACCAATCTGCATTTCAAAAYTGCCACACAATTTTAGGTTTTTATTTTGTCACTATCAGTAACTCATCAGAGCATTTGTCACAAGTTCATGATTCATGGCTTGTGTCACAGTTTCAGGACCATGTTGCTTGTCAGAATTTACCGATACATGGTCAATGCATCATGATACAAATGCAGAAAAGCAGATAAAGGCCAAGAACAACCCAATCTATGATAGCTAGAACAAAACTCCAATTTCAAGTTCTGTTTTGCTCTGTGTTAGCCTCAAAACCAAGCAACATATTCTTTTGTTTCATTGATAGCCTGAGAAAACGCCTGCAATTTGTGAAGAAAGACAATGAAATTGATTTGAAATCTCACACTTTTACCCTCACAAAAAAGGAACATTTTGCGCACAAATGATGCTAACACAGAGCMTTTTKGAGAATTCGAAACTGGAGTATTAGACAAATTAATAAAGGTTATTAAAGGAAAAGAACAAAAAAATTCATCAGCAAGTGATGGCACAAAGTGATGTATTAACTACACAAATACCATAAGCGCCAGCAAGATGGTCTGAATTATTTCTTTCAATAAACTTAGGATGATAGCCTGGTAAGCCACAAAACATGCAATTCTGTGGAAATAAGAAGTTCAGTTGAAGTACAGAAATATATGAGAGATTTAATAAATAATTCATATACAATTTGTTCAATCATTATTCATGATATGATGAAAATAATTTTTACCTTTGCTCATTCATTCATCAATTATCAAAATGACTTCTAAKAATATCAAATAAAATGATTCCCTTGAAAATGTCACATATACATGTACCTTTAATGCTGCCAGAACTGGTTGCTCGTATTGTTTTTTGAGGTTTGGTAAAACAGTTTGTATTATCTGTAGTGCTTTTAAGGCTGAGAATACCAGCTAGAAAGTAGGAAATACATTCATTGTTTATCAAAAAGTCTCTCACAATACATGCATTCTGTACATTATTAGTAT